GGATATTTAGCACATGCCAGAAGCATTTCCCATCCTGAGTTTTTTCTCCCAAAAATATCTCCAGACACTGCCAAATATCTGTCCGGAGCGAAGAACTACTGGTCTAGAGGTTAAGAGATCAGACTTTAGATGCCACCTGCTTGGTTTCAAGTCTCAGCAGTGCCGTTCCCTCTGTGACTTCGGGCTAGTTCCTGTGCCTGTGTTTCTCCACACGTCATAGGAGGATTACAATACCTGCGACGAATTACTGTGAGGATTAAGTGTTATGTTTTTAAGTCTGAGAATAGTAACTGACACTGTGTAAACCTTGTGTGATTGTTACCTATCATAATCAAACAAGCATGGGCAAATTATACTATAGAATGTAGAATGCAAGATTTAAAAGAATAAAATAAAAAACTTTAAAGACCAGTACAAAAAGTTCCTTTGAGCTTGGAATGGGCTCAAACCTCCAGAGATTCACATACCTGTATCTCTGCTGTTGGGGTCAGTTTGAAGGAAAAATTTGATTACTGTGACCCTCTACCACCTCTGTTTTATAATCTACATTCACTCTGGAATCGTTATCCTATTTCTCATGCACACTTAGATTGCCTTCTCAACCTGAACTGAAGTTATAGAAGGAAGGAATCATCTGCCATGCTTTCTTTCCCAGGGCTTGGAAGATGGCTCATAGTAGGCACTTTACATTTGTGAAGGGAAGAGTCCACATATAGTGTGCCTGAAGGAATGCCCTAGATCCATGCTGGTCATGTGTAGGAAACAATCAAGGCTGGATCTCACTGATGGTGGTTGTTTCTCACTCCCATATGCAAGGTAGGTTGGCCAAGATCTGTTGGATGGAGCAGCTGTATCGAGAAACTGCAGTCTGGATGTCACATCGGAGACCCAGCACATAAGGTGTAAGAAAGATGATTTGCCTATTATTTAAATTATGCTTTTATTGACTGAATCTATGATCAGCATAATTTTCTTGCAAGGAGTGAACAAAAGTATCTGTGAATACAGAAACAGAGTCTTCCATGGCTCAATGCCTAAGTGGTGTATAACACTACGAGCAGTGGAATGGACATTTCCATTGAACTGAACAGAAGGAACAGGGAATGATGGCAAGGGACCGAACAAGTTAAAATTTCCTAAATACTTATACTGGGTGAAGACCTGTGCTGGCTTCATTCACCTCCATGTCCACATTTACTATTAGTCAGCATCACCAAAGGGCAATGATAGATTCCTAATAAATGTCTCTACTCCTCCTGCTTGGAAGTCTTGCCTTCCCTAATCTGAGTTCAGCCATCCATCACCAGCCCATTTCCTCTTTACAGACACTTCCCTGAGGAAGCAATGGCCTTCCCCCAGGCAACTTCATTTTCTGGTACATTCATGTCCCCACCACCCTTTGCTGGGCATTCCATGAACAGGAAATCTGCAGGTAGGAAAGGAGGTTCAGGTCCCCACACCTAAGCACTGCCCCTTGAGGGGCAGGCAGCCAGGAGAGCCACCTGAGCCAGCCCAGCATTCTGAAACTTCCCTCCGCGCCTCTCAGGACTCGGGAAGTAGGGGGAAATGGGCTCCCAAACACTACAGTCGGCCGTGTGGGTACACAAGCCCCATTCACCGGGCCCTCCTGGGAAGCAAAGCCCCAGATCTTGTGCAGGCTGACCTCACAGATCTTCAGTAAAGGGAGGGCCTGGAGCAGCTCTGAGACTGGGCATTGTTCAGGGCTCCTCCAGGCCCCTTGAGTTGCAACACCCACTGCTCATCAGAGTGTCTGTCACACAGCGCCCAGCACCCCACAGTGGGTGAGGACCGGCTCTGCAGATCCCTGCTGCACACTCAGATCCTGCCTCTCCCAGCCTGTTTCACCATCTCAAATATGGGGGTGATACCATCTCTCTCACTGAGCTATTACAGAACTAACTGACCACGGAGTATAGGGGAGGCCCTGAGCAAAGTGCCTGGCAGAGTGAACTCTCATAACTTTGTGAAACGAATTGCATGGACAATAAGTAGCCTAACTCTACTTTGTCCTGGACCATAAGCCCTTCATCACAGTGCTCAGCACAACAGGGGGCCCTCAGTAAATACTTGTGCAATAAGTGAACTCAAACCATGTGAGAGGAAGGAGCTGATATTCTTTGTGTGACGGGAAAATGTCGTATGTCATCTGTGACCCCATTAAGTCTTACAATAAGAAAATTCTCTCCAGTTCACAAAGAAACTGAGGTACAGAGAAATTAAGTCCTGCAGCTACTTAGAGATGGAGTGAAGATTTGAACCCCAGACTACTAGTTGCAAAAATGAGGGTTTCCCAAGGACCTGTCAGCCAGGAGCTGGCACAGAGGGAGGGGACCCCCCTGACCCCAGAGCAGCCAAGGCACCAAGGGGGCACAGGTCCAGGCCCTGGGGGTCCCGGGCGTTCCTGGCATCACTGGCTGGGCTTCTCCCTGTGCAGGGGTTGCTCCCGCCTCGTCACTCGGCCAGCTGGAAATGCCAGCCAAGAATGCTATGCTGGCAGGCTGCTCAGTCCCCACAAGACTCGGGCACACCAGAGGCCTGGACTGGGCGTAGGCTGAGCCTCTCAGGAGTCTCAGCTGAGCAGGGGCAGCCCTGGAGGCGCTGGATAGAGAATGCAGTCTGACTCAGAGGCCACTGCTCCTGGGGTGTGGCAGACACCCCTCTGTGGGGAGCCAGCTTCCCTAGGGAGGGGCTTGAGGCCAGCAGGGGTCCTTGGAGCCTCTGAGCCCCTCCACAGGCTTTTGCCCCAAGCCTGTTCCTCCAACCAACCTGTTCCCTCTCCTGCCTTCCCCCAAAGCCATCCTCAGCGCAGTGCTGCTACTCGCCAGAAGAAGCAGAGAAGGAAGGGGAAAGCCATCCACTTGGGCACTTTGGCACTAATACCCGGAAAGATAATGTTTAACACCCAGCCACGAGGTTAGGGGCTGTGATCACGCATTGGCTCCCTTACTTCACACCACTCTGCCCTACAATCCAGCTGGCTGGGCTGACAACCCTTTGGGCTCAACTTCCTGCACCCACACGGTACCCAGTGCCAAAAAGAACTCTTGCAGGCCAAGGAGAGAAACTTTTCTGCTCTTCTCAGACCTGCGTAGCTGGTAAATGCAGGGCCCCTGGCAGTCACCCAACCCCCAAGCTTTACATTGTTTGAGCCTCTCCAACCAGGACCTGTTCTGGGGCCACCTGTGCTCAGAACTGCAGGGCCAAGACCTTGTGAAGGAGTGGGGAGAGGGGGAGGCATGGGGCAGTGTCCTGCAGAGATGGAAACATCAGGCCTTGGCCTCCCCAAGCGCAGTGAGGAAGTCCTCTGCAGCCCCCACATGTACGACGGTGTGTGGCACATAGTAGCCTGCCAGGTATTATTCAGCATTTTGTGCCAGGTGGTGCTGTAGGCCCTACACATCATTAACCCATTTAATCTCACATGCAATTTATACTTATGTACCTATGTTATCCCCATCCTACATAGGAGGAAACTGAGGCACAAAGAAAAATTAATTGCTTCAAGTCACACGACACTACACCTTCTGTGACAATTCGAACTCAGCTAGTCTGACTCCAGTATTCTCAATATGCTCAAGAAATAGTTGCTTGTACTTTGGAAGAATGACCAAGACATCCAAAATTCCCAAGGGGAGATGGCTGCTTTTCTCCAGCTTCCTTTACCCATCACAAGGCAAAATAACCACCCCCACCGCACCCCCAAGTGTATGGTGGCAGTCAGAAGGAGGTGTGTGGCACAAGAGAGAGAAAAACAATTGGTCTGGATTTTACATTGATAACAGGCTTTCGATTAGACTTGACGCTATGCACTAATAGTATTTTAAAGATATTTACCTTGTTACTTTAATAGAACCCTAATACAAAACCACACCTTCATAATACATTTCAATTTCTATTTGTGATATTTTAAAATAATCCTCTAAATAATTTTAATTTATCAATTCTTTTTAATGTATTGGGGGTAAAAGGGCTAGTAAATAAAAATAAATGTCTTAAACAGATTGCAATCCTTTGCAGTCCTCATTTTGTACTCTTGTGCATTTTAGTTCACTGGGATGTCCTGACCGTGCCCTGTGGGTACTGCCTTTCTGTCCCCAGGGTGAAGGTGGGGGCAGTGGAGTAAGGAAGGTGGGCAGAAGGTGGCTGAAGTGGTATTGAAACTATATTCCGAATCACTGATCCCGAGAAGCTGTTTTCTTCATTAAACTGAATCCAGGCTATTTTGATGTTGGCTTTATGCGTAACAGCAATAATCCACACCACAGTCCACCCACCCCTGGGACCTGTTTCAGTGACATGGTTGAGTGATTTGGGGTAGATTGTGGAGGGGGCAATCGGTTTAACATCCAAACCTTCCACAACGCCTGCCCTTCTTGCCACCAGTTCCCAACATTACAGAAATACAGAAGAGATCATTATCAGCAGGTTGGCTGGCACCGCGGAGAGGTTCAAACACTCTTAACAGCCTGAATCAATGTCACTCGTACGAGGCACCACTTTTTCAGGAATACCCAACACAGACCAGGCTAAAAGAACTCCTGCACAGGAAAGGGGAGAAAGGAAGAGAGACAATCAGGGCCGGAGCAGCAGAGCTAACACAGGAATCTCTTGGTGAACCTAAACAGGATGGAGAGGGGATTCCAAGTGAGGAGATCCACAAGCTGCCCCCTTGTCAAGGAAAGTGCTTCACTTCAGTGCCAGATGCCCATGGCAGGCACCTGCCCCAGGGAATCTGATGACTGCATTGACTCCTGTCCGTGTGCCACCTTCTTTCCCTGGGAAGCTCAGCCCAAGAGCACCTGCACTCATCTCCTTGTAAGCCATTTCCCTGCCCGCTTGCCTGGTGGCCTCTGAATCTGAAAACACCAGAAAACTGTGGGCTCTGCTCTCCCAGGCCAGGCTGAAGGACAGACCCTTTGCTGATCTGATGGTTACAGCAAAGTAGGACTGTGTGGAGCAGTCACTTTAGGTAACTCCGCAAACAGGAATGGTAGCACATGGAAGTCACGCCTGGGGACATCGCATCACTGGCAGGCTCTGAGGTGGTTCCATCCCCGTCTGGTAAAGAGGGACATGCTGACGCCAGGCGGCTCACAGGGACCTGTCTTAGGTCCACAGCTAGTTAGTGAAAAAGAGGGCCCAGTGGTACCTTCCAGTCTACCATTTTTCTTCCCGAAACCACGAATCCCAAAACATCTATAACTTCAGAGCCCCCAGTGTGGCTAGTTAATAATACGAGCAGCAGCAATAGCTGGGTCCTGATAACAGTAATAGCTGCAACATTAAGAAAAAACTCTGCAAATTTGGCCCTAAGTCAGCCAATTTCTTTGAGGTCAGCATCTAGTGCTATCTAAAAGAATTAATTAGAAGCCAGTTAAGGCTGTTTTGAGAGGGAGAAGGAAGGAGGCGCCCTGGCCCCCGCGGCGGTACTCACCAGCGTTCCGCGCAGGTACATGGCCCAGGAAGGCACCCAGGGGGACCGCGGTGGCCCAGGTATATATATAGCCGAGGTGTTGGCAAAAAGGCCCCAGGCAGCTGTTGTCGTCACGCCCCTCGCACATTCCAGGACAGGCCGGTGCGCTACTGCTGACACTGCCTACCTGCCGGCTTAACCAGCCCATCGTGACCTTGACCCCTGCGCAGAGAAAGGCGGATAGAGTGAGGTGGCTTCGAGAGCGGAACCCAAGGCCTCTCCCACGCCCTGGGTGGCGCGCGTCCACCCCGCCCCGACACGGGACCCCAGCGAACCCAGCAAGCTGGGTCAAGAGGTCTCCCCGTCCCCTGCTCTTCTCCTCGACTACCTGAATCTCCTAGTTTAGCTCCTCTGAGGCTGAAGAAGTCAGAGACATTGAAATACAGATAAACGCCAACTAGAAACTCGGGGAAGAATCCTCCCAAAACAAAGCCAGGATTGTTTGGCCTTATCAGCCTTAGGGGTGCTTTCTGCCCCAGGAGCCTGGCCTCAGCAGTTAGACACTTGACCGGCTGCAGCCCTGGGTCTGCAATAGGCCAGGGCTGCATTTGCCAGGCTGAGGAAGGGGAAGGGGCACTGCTCCCCTCCACGAGATCTGCTCCCCAACAGCTTGGTGGGGCTTCGCAAACCAGGGCCCTGTTTCACCTTCTGCGCTGCCCTGTGTGTTCCTGTGTGGCCACGCAGCTTTGCCCATCCTGGCTGGGAGAAGACCTACCTCTGGGAGAGCCCATCGTGACGTTTGTCATAACAGCCACCCAGTTCTGAGCAGGGGGGACCTTCTCCAAGCCCAGAGAAACACCTTCCCTGGGGCGAGAGGAGCCCCTTCCTAGTTAAGGCTAGGAGGCAAGGGGCATGCAGAGGGTTACTCAGGGTTTGCTGAGTAGGGATCTAACCTAATCTTACTCCCAAACCCAGGCCCTTTCCCGCTGCCACACAGGCCTGGCTTTATACTGAGGGGAGGGAGCCTTGGGGTGCTTGCGAATTGCCCAGCTGCCCACAGCTCATGGTGGAAGTGCCCTGTTGGAATGGAACCAGGCTGATTTCATTCCCAAACCAAGAGCTCTGGCCTCCATCAGAGGGAAGAAGTCAGGAGGGCTGCCTCCAGGAGCCCGCAGGGCCAGGCTGTCTGGGGGCTGAGTTAGTCTGTTAGTGGTTACACCCACTGACTCTGGGGTCAGAGTGTCTGAGGTCACTTCCCTGTTCCGCCCCTTGCTTTCTCTGCCTTTATTTGCTCGTGTGTAAAATGGGAATAATGGCCCCTACCTGTTAGAGTACAATGAGCTAAATTATTTATCACGTATCACATAAATATTTAGCGCATAGAACATAACCTGGTACATGGGTACTTCATACATGCTAACCATCATAGTTTTCACCTGGTACCTCTGGAGTCAGGAGATGGGTAGGAAGCTTTGATTAGACTCATCTGGAAGCTTGGCACTCTAAGGTCATTAGTCCCCAGCCTCAGATGCTGGTCACATCAGTGAAAGGGTCAGGACATTGTTTGGAAAGTGGGCATTAGAAAGAATTCAAATTAGCCCAAGGTGTTCTCATTAGGGCGATAATGGATTTGCTAGTGGGTGCTGGACTTAAAAGCCAGCCTTGGAGACAGTGGTCAACCAGTACCTTTCCTTGGAGGGACTTGTAAGCAGAGTTCTGGGTTATAGGGATCCCCAGGGCATATGTTCATTGAACTCAGCTCCACCTCCAGCTGTAGGGGGCTACAGAGACACCACTTCAGGGGTTCACAGGGCCTGGCCTTAATTGGACATTCATCCCCACAAGCCTTCTCCCAGTAAACGTGAGTTTTGATGTGGGAACAGATCTGCCTTCACATTGCCTTTCTATCATGCCAAATAAGGAGCATAGATAGACTGAAATTTCAAAAATCTTGGACAAAAGATTTCCCTTTCATGTTGGCATGAGACTGGTTCAATCAGACCTTTTTTATTTTATTTTAGATGTGCATGGATCATGGTAACAGATCAGGACATTTGTTTGATTTTAGGTTTGCATTGTAGATTTTTATATTACTTTTTGTACAATGTGTGGAGGAAATGTAGATGATGTGGGAGAGAGACTCTAGAATTTCTCCTTTTAGGGGAACACAGTCCTTGCAGCTGAATAGTTTCCTATCTTCATTCCATCTCAGATACAGAACGCTATCACCATTTAGTACTTTAAAAACACAGCCTATGTTTACACACTAACTTCTAAAGTACCTTCATTCAGCACATTTTTGTGCATGCTGTTGTCCTATAAGGTAGAATAGATGGGATTAAGTGGTATCATTGTGAAATTGAGGCCCACCCAGAGGCCATACACTGGCTGCCCAAGCTACAAAACTAGGGGCTAATATAGGCTCACATGGATTACTAAGCCCCTGGGGCCGGGTGTGATTCGGAATTTAGAACTTTCATTTTTAGAAAGTATGGTGTAGACACTCCACTGGGACCTGGATAGTGCCCTGTAACCAAACTCGTTGATATCTTTGCAGCAAAAATGTATAAATATGGAAAGTGGAATAAATTTTAGTTTATATTATCAATTCAGTTTAGAGTTTGGCACTAAATGAGTTTTAAAATTACAGATTACATATCATGACTGCTATCTGAGTGCTTACCCTATGCGAGTACCATTCTAAACACTTTACATATATTAAGTCATTAATCCTAATACTACTAGGAGCTAAATACAGAGGCCAGGAAACAGGAGTCCCAGAACTTCTAAGTGTGTTAGGACCTTAACCCATTTACCAATTTCACACATGCAATCAAAAAGTTCTTTGCTACTTTCTTGCCTCCTTTTCTTCATTGGGATATGTGGATGCCCAAAGGACTTCTATGATGAGTGGAATGAAAGAGAGAACCGGGGATATATGTGGGCCCTCGGTTTACAACAACATGCAGAACAGTGGTAAAGATAATCTGAAATAAACAGATATTCCAAAAGGAACAAATTTAACTTGACCCCCAACTAACATACCCTATACACAAAAGAATTTATCTAAATAAATGTAGAAGACAAAATAATAGGATTTCTAGAGGGCAATAGAGACAAATGTTCATGAAGTCTGGATAGGGACAGGCTTGTTAAATAGGAGACAAGATGCATTAACCATATCAGGAAAAGGCACTTTTAAGAGAGTGAAAAGGGACCCCAGAGTGAAAGGAGAGATTCAGAACACATAGTTGACCAAGAGATTATTCTGGAATATGTAAAGAATGCCTTCTAGATCCAGAGCAAAATCCAGTTGAAAAATGATTAAGAGACTAGAACAGGCACTTCTCAGACGAGGATAGTTAATAAACACATTAATAGGCGCTCTGTATCACAACTGAGGGAAACGCAAATTAAACCACAGTGAGATTCAAGCCCAGTGTACATATGCCCACGCCTGAGCCTATGGCCGAGAGAAACGTGTGCATATGTTCACAAAAGACACACATAAAATTGCCCAGTGCAGCACATACAGCCCCAACAGCTCAGATGTCCATGTCCATCAACAGAATGGAATATGAACTGTGAAGCACAAAATGAAATACTATTATGAAACTGTCATTTTTGAGTCAAAAGTGGTCAGATAATATACATCAATGAAAACGAACTATTTACTTTTTGCTTCATGGAATTGAATGGATAGGTATCATCTCACAAACATGTTAAGTTAAAAAGGGTTTGTGTATGTCTACTGTTTGATTCCACTTGTGTAAAGCTCCCAAACCAGCCAAACTGAACCTTAGTGTCCAGGAATGCATGTGTAGGTGGTAAACCTGAGAAGAAGCGAGGATGTCCCCATGGAAGTCAGGTGGGGGTGAGACTGAGGGGACTTGGGGACCTGAGGAGCTGACAGTGTTCTCCTTGGTTGTGGTCTTTGGCTTTGAGATAAATCCTTAAGTGATACTAACCCAACATATTGTTTTTTTATAAAATATCACAATAGAAGGTTAAAAAGCATTAGTGGTTTTGGAGAAGCATGTGGGCCAGAGGGTAGGCTCTGGGTTGTACCACTGAAATGAGTCCCTTTGAGGACTGAGTGTGAGCCCCTTACTGGCTCTGTCGCATTAATGTTTACCATGATCATCAGCCTCGCGCTTATACATGGCTCGCTCTGTACCAGATGTTTAACCAATTATGTGATAAACTTTTAAAAGGAAACACACACCGACTCTCTTGCCGGGAGCAAACTGAATGTAATGAACTCCTGATGCCTTATGAGTGTTTCACAAAATCCAGTGACAATTTCATAATACCTTAAGTGCCTCAGAGCTGTTTTTCTATCCTAAATAGGCTCAGACAGCTACATTCTAAAACTTCTCCTGTGTGTATGTATGTATGTATGTATGTGTGTGTGTATATATATACATATATTTTAATTGTTCTGCTTGTCCCCTTAGTGCAGAGTGTTAGCACTTGGTTCTTTACAGACACTGAGTTATCTCTGTAACTATACACAGCAATAACTCCCCTGCTTTATCCATCAGCTATAACATTGTTACTTCTAACCTGCTGTGGATTAAGAAAATAGCTCACCTCATTCATTTATCCATTTAACTAACAGTCATTAAAATGGCAAATAAAACAATAGTAAGCCTGGATGGTATGATGAGTCTATTTATGTGCATGTTTTACCACCTTGACTTCACATTTCCTTTGGATACAGAATCTTTTCTTTTTGCACAGTCCTGGGCTAGATTCGAAATAGTTGATGCCATTGGCACTAACTCCCACTTTACAAGGGCATCCCATATTAGGAATAAGACCAATAATTTGGTGTCACACACAGGGCCTGGGATAACTGGTATGGACAGGATTGTCACCTGGGCCTCAGCCTAGATGGTGTCCAGGAATCCAGTCTGGAGAACGAGGTGGCTTCCACCCATCTGGCCTGCTTTCTGCCTCTATCATCATTCTTACCCCAGGGCCTTTGCTCTTGCTATCCCCCTGCCTGGAACATTCTCCCAGTCTTACAAATGAACACTCTTAATTCAGGAATCAGAACTTCACTGAGCATTTCCCTTGCCTGCAGCCATTGTCACCCTATTTTTATTTCTTTCATACATTGTTGTATAAGCTTTTTTTTTTTTACAAAAGTTCCCACTGATATGGTTTCTTCCTGGGTAGAGGGATTGGGACTTGGGATCCTGTGCCCCACTAGATATTTCACATTTGAATTAAACATTTTAATCAAGGGCATTTGAAGTTATTAGCATATATGCCTATTTTCAGATTATTTAAAATGAATTTTCAACTAATTAAAATCAAAGGATCATAAAATGATTTGAAGGTAAGGAGGAACTCACAGCTGGGAACTTAAGTCTGAACGCCATCGCAGTTGCTTGAATCTTCCTTCCTTTCTCTCTTGCATCTGGGCCCCACAGGCCTGGTGAGAGGTGCCAGAGGAGGAGGTGTGAATGGTTCCAACCACCCATCCACCCAGAAGATCTCCCCACGGCCCTTCAGGGCATCTCATATTCCCATCATGTGCAGCCAGCTAAAGAGAAGGGGAAAGTTACAGAACCCATGAGGGTGGAGTCATGGATAAAGGGTGTGTGCATCATCTGGCGGGACAATGCTGACAGGGTGACAACAGTGCGTAAAAATGGGCTTCTACACTGCTTTAGTTCCAAGCCTGCCCAATGACCCTCCTCCAAGAATATTTTGTGTTCAGATGTTCCTAAAGATAATGCTTGTGGTGACAAACAATCGGAAAGCATTCAAGTGAATATAAAAGAACTTCAAATTTCGCAATCTTTCCACATGGAGATATATCATGCTGTGATGTTGGCTGAACAATATACCCACTGTTTTCATACCGTCATGACAAAATCCTAATATCAAGCCAACCATAAGCCAGGGGGTACCACTAAAAAAAACTATGCATTAAGTAATTATGGATAGAAAAATGACTGGAAGATATAACAATCTTAACAAGGATGGTTTGAGGATGAGATTTAGTATTTTATTGTTTTATCTCTATACATTCTCATTTGGAAATTGGAAAGGATTTTTAATTTTCATGCATCCATTTAGTTCTCTCACTCATTGGCTGGACAAGCCGCATGATCTGAGTCTCCATTTTGTCACCTGATAAATGGGGGCAACATGTAGACCTGCCTTACCTAAATCATAGGTGATGAAAATTTAGTAAAATAACATAAGAGCCTTGATACTGTGTAAAGAGTTACACAAAAGCATGCTAGTCAGACTGTATTAACATACCATATATACACACATATTGTTAAGTCAAATATGTAGAAAACAGGGTAGCCACGGGCAGCCCATCCACCCTCCCTCCACCCCAGTAAGTCGTACCATGTGTATTCGTGCATTGACAAGGATTAGAAATTACATGTAGGACATTTCTGTCAGCTCTATGTCCATTTGTTTTGCCTGAAAAGCTGCTGAAATGTATGGTAAATTTTAAATAATAAGGATTCTGTCCCTTTTGGGGTACATATTCTCATGCATATAACACAGTCTAAAAGGACTTAACCCAAGGTTAAGGGGAGGCCTGGCCTATGCCAGGGTGACACTGCTCTTTCTCTTCCCCTGGCTGTGCCTCTGCATTAACCCACCCTGCTATCCCCTCACACTTCACTGTTGTCAGGCAGCTGTGTCTGGGAAGGACTCACACTGAGCTCTAGGTGAAACTCCAACCTAGAGCGGGGAGGCTTCTTGACTCAGATTGAGAAAGAATTCTTGCTTAGTTTGGAAGAGTGTAGGTGAGGACGGAATTCATTAAAGGGAGAGTAGTAGCAAACGGCAGCAGCCATTCAGGAAATAGAGAACAGAAAGAGCAGAGGGAGAACATAACTGAACTCCTGCTCAGCTTAGGGCAAATCCCTTGCCAGCTCTTAAAGCCGGGGTCACCTGGTGTCCAGTGTAGGCTTGAATCTGCAGGGCATGGGAATTAAGTCCCTGCCACCCCAGGATTTGGGGGAGCCGCAGAGCACTGGATGGAATGATAATATGTTCTGAAAACTTCCCAAAGGTAAAGAAAGGAGATTCTCAGGCAGGCTAGTAAAGAGCACGATCACACAGCTGCAGTGCCGTTCGGGTCACCCAGGCGATGGGAACTTGCAAGTCCTAAGCCCATTGCTACTTGTGCGAAGTGAAACAGAGACTGAAGGTTGGTGCTTAAGTCTAGAAAAATGAATGAAATGTCAATGTCACAAAGATGCTCACTACTGGAAGAGTGCAGTTAAAATGTAGTAAGCTGAGCAGTGAGAAATGTTTACTTAAGGCAAAGCGCTCACTGGGAGAAAGGGGAGTGTGGGCAGCCTCAGACATGACGCACACTTGAGGGCTTAGGGTTCTGTCTTTTAAGGCCTTCAAAAGTGGGGCAAAGGACAGGACATGTGGTCTCATGATGTCTGTCTCCAGTGAAAGACATTATGTCACCATCCATAATCTGTCCTCTAGATATTCTGTCAGATAAACTTGATACTAGGAATATCTTGATCCTGTTCTTCTCCAAGATAGTGGTTACCTTCAAGCAGTGGGAACATATCATTTAGGATTATTTGCCCTGCCTTAAGATAGGGTCAGTTATGGGCTGATTACCCTAAAATATGTTAGGAATCTTACTTCGTAACTCAGTTTTTTTCAAATGGAATCTTAACCTTAAAATGGAATCCCTCCTGTTTTGACTGTGTTATTTATATCTTGGCATTTTCATCATAGGCATGAAAAATTAATCATTATGCTTGTCCCATGTCCCTGCCCTACCTTAAAAGCACTCCTGCCTCAGCACAAATGTGTCTCCAGTTTACTGCATTTAAATCACCAGGCTATGGGCTAACAGTTGGTGTCAGGGCACCAGTGGAGGACTGGGGGGAGCAGAGACCTGTGCCATCACCCAGGGCCACACGCCCGAGTGAGGCCTCAGGCTGCCCTCCGTGAGCCCCTGCTCCCAGCCCCTCACTGCCCGCTGGCACTGCCCGGTTGGCTAGCCCAGACATCAGGGCACCGGACCCTCCCACATCCAGCACAGGGAGGTCAGAGGAAGAACCGAATTACAGGTGTCCTCTCACTAAGCAGGGTAGAGGAAGCACTGAGAGGCAAATGGGCCCTGGGAATCATTGCCCAGGAGGCCCTGCCCAGTAGACAAAAGGTCACCTGCCCCACTAGGAGCCTGGGAGTTGTCCTACTTCTTCCCATGGGGATGGGCAGGCAGGAAATGTCTCCTGTAGGTCCAGCCCTGGGGTAGGCTCCAGAAATTTGGGTAAAGGCACAGCGTGCAGTGGGGCAGATCAGGCGTGGCTGCCACGGAACTAGCTCCTTTCCTCTGGAGTCTGGGTCAAATGCTAAGAGCTGAGGAAGCCCCCTGTACCCAGCAAACAGGACCAAAGGTCCCGGGTCAGCACAGGCCCCAAGCCACTTGGTGCAGTGACTTCATGTGCATCACCCAGGCCGCTGCACTAGGTTGGTGGATGCACAATGAACGAGACCCAAACCCTGACCTCAGGGGGTCTCCAGCCAAAGAGGGGGAGGTGAGAGAGCTGCAACAGATGACTGATGGAGGGGAGAAGGGCACAGACTGGAACGCCCTGCAGGTGGCCTCCCCACAGCCTCATCATGCAGGCCTGGGCCTCACCCCTGGCTGCACAGCAGAACCCTGGTGATTTAAATGCCAGCTCTGTCCAGGCCCCACTCTCCCAGGGCTGCTGTGGTCATGGCTGGATTGGCCCAAAGTTTCCCAGGTGACCCTCCTGTGCAATCAGCTTATGACCAGTGCTCTGGAGGGTTTTCAACTGGGAAGAGACATGGTTGGATTTGCCTTTTGAAGCCAATTCAGCAGCTGGTGTGAGACTCAGACAAGGAACGTGAGGCAAGAGTCAGGGAGGCCAGTGAGAGGCTGCAGAGTAAGGAACCCTCCAGTGGTTCAGTTTTAAGGGGTCTGCAGCCACCTGCCCAAAGGACTGCCAGGGAGCAGAAAAGAGAAGGAGAAGGAGGGGTCCTTGCCATCTGGTCCATGTTTTGCAAAAGAGGAAACTGAGGCTCAGAATGAGGACTTGGGTAAACAAGCCAGGCTTTTTGACTCCTCTCCACTCTCACTGCACAAACAGCTCTGAGATCAAATCAGTTTTATCTTTGTTAATGTCTCAGGCAAATATTTGAGAGAGGCGAGGAAATGAGCTTCTCTGGAACAAGCTGAATGTTAGGAGTCATGTGCCACTTCGCTGTGAGGGTGGGGGCCTCATGCTAACTAGGTGCATAGCTCCCGGGGAAGGCGGCAATGAGCCCTGGACCCAGGAGAGGCCACTTGCAAGCCTTTCTCCAGGTGAGAAAGCCTAAGGACTCCATTTCCCAGCCTCCCTTGCAGTTTGGGCTGCCCTGTATGCGGTTCTGGACACATGAAGTTTCCTTGAGGGCTAAGGGGGGCTGGTCTTGCTGAATACAGGAGGGGGCCTTTAGCCCTTCTGCATTCCTCTTTCCTGAAACTTGGAAGTGATTCAGCAGGACAAGAACTATGTTGATGAGGGCTGTAACAGATTCTTGGTGTTTGTGACTGAGAACATTTCCAGCTGGTTGTATTAATTTCCTGTGGCTCTTACAACAAATCGCTATAAACTGGGTGGCTGAAAACAATGGAAAGGTGGTCTCTTACAGATCTAGAAGCCACAAGTCCAAAATCTAGGGTCAGCAGGGTTGGCTCCCCCTTGGAGCTTCGGAGAGACTCTGTTCTCTGTCTCCTAGCTTCTGGCGGTTGCCTCAGATCCCTGCAGTTCCTTGGCCTGCAGCTGCATAACTCCAGTTTCTGCCTCTGTTGTCTCATGGCCTTCTTCCTTCTGCATCTCTGTCTCTTTGTAAGACACCCGTCATATTGGATAGGGGCCCACTCTATTCCAGCATGACCTCATCATTACTTAGTATATTTGTAATAACCTTATTTCCAAATAAGTTCACATTCTGCAGTTCTGGGAAGGACCTGAATTTGCGGGGCCACTATTATCCCAGTACATTGGTGCAAGGCTCAATGACACCATCCACGGCTTGACAGTCAACAGCTTGACATTGTAGAAAGCTTCAGCTGGACTTCAGTTTGATTCCTGCCTTTGTCTTTTATTTGCTCTGTAACACCATAGATGAGCTCTATAACCTGACAGGGACTGATTTCCTATGAAGTGGTGATAGTACCTCTCAGAAGTGGGGAGAAAACCCCCAGGTCAGCTACAGGGTTGAGTGCAGGGGATCCTGCAGAGCCCCCAGCGGGGTGCTGGGAATCTGCTGCACTCCCAGCTCTGTTCCCTGCTCGCCTGTCTCTCCTTCTGCATGTCCCAGCTGCCCTCTGTGCCCTCGATGCTCTAAGGCAGACCTGCGTCTGGCTCTCCCAGTAGTTGAGGACACTGAGGAGTAAATAATGACTGTACAGGGTGGCAAGTGACATGCCGGAGGCCTGCAGAAGTCCCATAGAAGGG